AAGAATAAAAAGTTTCAAAATTATTATAAAAACTTATTTATTTATTAATTATTTATTTTAAAATATCTGAATTTGATTATGAAAAAATTCTTTCAAAATGAATGCCTGGAAATTTGTCGCGAAAAATATATTATAAAGTTTCAATTTAAAAATATAAATGCAAATATTTATTGAGATAAATAAAGTGACTAAAAATTTATCGTAAGACATATGTTTGTGTTCATAACTTGTAAAAATAGCTGTTATAATAATCATTGCAATATTTGTTAGATATTTGTAAAGACACAGATTTTTATCTGTATTTAATATTATAAATGAATGTATTGAGTCGGAATAAAATTTCATAGCGACATGAACTTTAAAATTCAAGCAACTGTAACTTCGTTAAAAATAAATGAAATTTAAATTTAAATAATCGATTTTAAAACTTAAATTTGTTTAGCTCATACTAACAAAATGGGAAATTGTCTTCTCACTTTGAGCCTCACGTGACTAAACAAAAAAACATTGCAGAAATTTTCGACTTTCTAATGTAAAAGCTTAAAATATTCCTTACAAAATTATTTTTTTTAATGTTCGTAAAATTTTTTATTATCTGAATTAAATCAAAGGAGCATTTTTTTACTTTGATTGCTCATAACGGTGTTAAAAATCATTGTACCGCAATTTAAAAGATTCTTAAAGCTGAAACTTTGCTCTGTGTGTTGAATGGCATAATTGTCAATATTTTAAAAACACATGTAGATATGATACAAATGAAGTAGCGCTACAAACTTTTGTTTCGGCACAATAATCAAAATGATGCACATGCAGAACACTGTCGACATAAAAAAAAAATTAATTTTTCTGTTTTGATATTATAAAATTTCTATTCTTTCTATACCTTTTACCAATTATATTATATTTTTCTGATGTGTATTGATGGATAAATATGATAGTAAATACAGTTTTCGCCTTGAGAACGAATCTTTATCTGGTGTAAATACCGTTCAGTATGATGCTCAAATCATTCGCGTTAAATATGTTATCTTTATAGAACAAGATCGCGATTATTTATCGATTCGTAGTCATGAAATCTCACAATAAGTGAAAAAATAATTAAGACGTAGTCGTTAATTATTAAATCTCTTCTGTTTTATCGAGTTTTGAATTCTTTCAACAAAACATGTTTATTTTAAATCATTTATGAAATTATTTATATAATGTGCGCGTTAATATTTTTTCTGATTACAAAACAATCGAGATATATATATATATATATAATCAGTACTAAAAATGAAACCATTGGTAATTAACTGACTGGTAACAATAATTCGCCTCAAGTTTCCACAATTCACACATCTTTGATCTCTCTTTAAAAAATGTATATATTCCACAGAGAAGTTTATGTATAGTAGAACTTCGTTTTTCCAAACATGTTGGAAGACAGAACAGTTTCAAATAGTTATAGCTAGGATAATAACTCCGATAATAAAAATTATTATTGCTCCTAGTACGTCAGAAAAATTGAAGCCAAGTCAATTTCTTATTATTCGAACGATATCGTAGTTTGGATAATAACAGCTCGATTGTGAATTCGTATATTTAATGGAATTAATTAAACTGTAATGCAACGCATTTTAATACACATCACTGCAGATTTTTAAAAAGAAGAAAAGAACGTGAATCGATATTAATTACTCTTAACTAAAATTCCATTCAAGCGAAGATCCCTCTCAATCTAAAATAATTAATTTTCAATCCGTCTCTTTTAACAAATACACCTTTACCTCGTATGACTCTAAATAAAGTTAATAAAAGAACAGTTGTCTACTTTCCTTCAAATGTTATGTTTCGCGTAATAACGTGTGATCGTTAAAATATATTTTAAATATATTATAAATATACAAATTTATAATTTAAAACAAGAATAATGGATCATCGTATTATTATAATATATAATAATAATACAAATGAGAGAAAAAGCAGATTGAAAAGATGTATAATTAAAGAAGATTAATTATGTTCTACTGCGTAGTGATTTCAATATTAAAGTATTGTCCGATTATTAATACGACAGCGCAAGACGTGCCATCGTTTAAGCATACGTTTGAGCGTAAAAGGGTGGGAGAGAATCGGTTTTCGGAGATAGTATAAAACAATGTGGATACGGTCGCTGAATCGTAGTCGTTTGTAATTTGCTTCAGTGTCAGCTTCATTAGAAGTTCATCATCATGGCGTCTCTACGGAGGAAGAGGGTCTCCGTAGTATCTCTTTCGGAAAGAATGAAAGTCCCATCGAACAAACCATCAGGTGATTAATTAATAATATAAATAATATTATGAATAATGTGTATACAAATTACTATAATTTCTGTACAAAGAAATCCATATTTTCCAATAATTTAAAAAAAAGCACAAACATTTTGTGAATTAATTAAATCAGTTTAAAAAAAATGAAACCCAAAATTATTGAAGATCTTCATCTATTTATTTATGACTTTTTGTAAAAGAAAATTTTCTAAATTATTTACTGTACTTAAAAAGATAAGGATTGCTATTATTGAAACATATAGTATCTCACAACCCGTGATTTTAATTTTAAATACGGATATTCCCTAATAAACTTGAAGTAAATATTTTTTAGCAAAAATATTCAAATTATGTGATAAATTATATAACCAATTATAAGTGATGTAACAAAATTTAAACGATAAAATGTTTATTAATAATTTTAAATGTTCTTACAAAATTTGATTAAATAATTCAAATAAGATAACATTGAGCTCTCGAGATAACAAATAAGTATAATTATAAATTACTGCCAGGCGATGATATACAAATTGTATATCATAGACTTTACATGTATTTCTACAAAATCGAACGTATTGGCTCAGTTCGAATTCAATGTTGAATTTGTTATTGAACATCGCTGAGGGTGGCTCGAACTGAGTCAAAACGTTCGATTTTGTAGAATTAAATGTAAAGTCTATAAAATCTATATATCTAGTCTACAATTTCTATATATAACACTCGAATAACTACGTTAAAATTCTCAATCGGCAGTAATTTATAAAAATTTGATTAGTCTTTTTGATTACAATTTTTCTATATTATATAGGTTTATAAATGTCTTTAAAAATTATAAGAACAAACTTACATATATAAATGAAGTGCAGATATAAACAGAGTTCTATTTAATAACAAAATTATTTTCTAAATAGAGAAAATCTTTCTCCTTTTTAAAAAAAGTATTTCTTCTCTTTTTCATTTTATATTCCTTTTCTATTTATTTATTACATGTTATTATTACTGCAACATTTCTATTCTTAAATTCTTTACAAAATTTATCTGACATTCGACAAATATACAAATTCGATTCTCTTTAGCAGTGTTAGATTTCTCTTTCGCATCCTTCATCTTCACGCTAATCGAAAAGGGAAACTTCTTTATATTTTTTAAATAATTGTATAAAATGTGAAGATAATTATATAAATATGTGAGTAAAAATAATACAAATAAATGTACAATAGAAACAATATAACAATTTATACGAGAGAGAGAGCGAGAGAGAGAGAGAGAGAGAGAGAGAATTGATTATCATATTCAATAACTGAATTATAAATGAAAATAGAGATTATGGAACAATTATCACGAATTATGTTAAAATGTGATGCAAACCTCGAATCAATATTGACGCACCTGTCTTATTAAGTTATTGTTCAGTGTATATAAAAGAAAAATATGTTTATTACATATTTATTATTCGCTTCGCGATAACTAGAAACATTTTATGTCTTATTGATGCTTCAGATTCTTGTTATTTCTGGAATAAGTGCTAAAAGATCTCATCAATATAATTCGATAATTAATAAGAATAAAAAAACATAAATTAAAATATAATAATCAATATTATAACAATACTACACTTAATACATTATTTCTTTAATAAGAGTATTTTTTCTAATTTACGCTGTAATAAAAAATTTATTTTGCTTTCTTTCTCTTTCTCTCGCTGTATTATATCATAATTTCAATTTTTTAGTAATATATTACTATTTCTTTCTCTTAATCCATCAGTTTTTCCTGATCCACATGATTGACTCAGGACTATCTGGGGAAAACATATTTTGCGAGTAAAAGTTATATTATATAACAATTATCGATTAGAATTAATCCGCATTCTATGCATTTTTCGGACGAGGTTCGCTTCTTCGGAATGAAGAAAAAATTCAAACACGGTTACTAAGATTTTATCGATTGCACTCGCATACCGGTGATTTCTCTGACGCAACGGGTAATTGTTATTGGATTTCAAGCGTAAACATTGAGCGATCGGTTTTTACTGACGCAATGCGATCTTGATGACAATGACACAATTTGTATTCAATTCCGCGTTTATACGTGATGCCCATGTAAACTTCGTCGAGGGCGTAAAGAACGTACTACTAATTGTAAAAATAAAGAACATAAATGATGATTGAAAAATAGATCATTTTTCTATTTGTTCACAGAACTTAAAATTATAACATTAGTTTCCACACAATGCAGTCATACCTAAATTAAACAAGCGATTGTAATTTTTTTCTTTTGCAGTGTCTTGAAATTTGCAAATTAAAATATCACAGCAAGAAAGTCCTTGAAAAAAATTAAGTAAAAAAGGTTATTTGTAAATTCTTATTTTAAACCATAATTTTTTGAATATGAAGGTTTGAATATGGCTAATTACATACAACAATTAAGCAACCACTTATTTAAACATCCATGAGTCACGCGAGGCACGTGTTAATGAATTGGTGCGCCCATTTCAGCACATTCATGAGTAATTCTAAACGTAATGGCTGTAATTGGCTATGTTTAAACCTCCCGTTATATTTAAAAAAACAAATTGCTTAAAATAAAAAAATTTCAAAGAATTTTTTTTACTTCACTTTTCAAGAAAATTTTTCAACTTTTTTGCTATAATATTTTGATTCGCGAATTTTGAGACACTCTTTATATCGAGATAAATTAATTGTTTCACTATTCGATCAATTTATTGTATTACATGCATACCTTGAAGGATATAATTTCTCCTTGCAGCATGGTTCGGATGTAGACATGGTCAGGTGGGACTCATGGGCCTAGGATTCTTTTGTTGTTATGCTATCCGAGTAACGACGTCAGTAACCTTGGAGGCGATGACCAATGCAGCCAGTGCCAATCCTAATTTCGAGGTACGTGTCAATGACACTGATTCTTTTTTTTATCCTCGTGATCTAAAAGAGAGATACACTTCTTCTCTCTTTCGAAGGAGTTCCACTGGGAGGAATCAGTGAAGCACATAATCCTCAGCTCTTTCTTCTGGGGCTATACCATCACGCAAATACCTGCCAGCATTCTCACTCAGAAATGGACTGCTCAGGGTTTGTTTTCGATGACCCTAGTTATCTCCGGATTGCTGACTATCGCCACTCCCATGGCCGCTCATTATGGCGGCTGGCAGATGGTGATCGCTTGCAGGGTAATGTGCGGCCTCGTCCAGGGTGCCGTTCTACCGTGTCTGCACACCTTGCTGTCTAGGTGGTCGCCGCCTGAAGAGCGTGGTAGACTCTGTAAGTGTACATATCTTTAATTGAACACACACACGCGGAATAAATACTTTCACTCTTACTTGAGTGAAAGTATTCTAAATGAGTTAAGAGAAAAGTTTTCGGCATTTGATTAGTGATGATTCTCGTATTCATTAAAATAAAAGTTGCGTATATATATATACATGGAGATTTTTGTGACATCTTATCATTTATTCGTCGAAGTTTAAAGATATTTGCTTGAATTTTAGAATCAGTTTGTAGCACAATGCTACACTGATTTTAAAATAATTTTAGCATTTGTATATTTTTCGAACTGCTTAAATGCATCATAAAATCAGTGATTTTATTTGTTATATTTTACTTTGTCAAGAAACGTCGCAATTTTTAATTTCTTATTCCAATTTCAATTTCAACCTGATTTGTGTTCTTTTTTTTGAATCTCAAGTTCGCATGCAGTTAGTTATATATATATATATATATATATTCACTTTTGTTTGATCACAGAAATGCAAATGAATTAGCAGGCACGTCAAGTTTGATACGTATAAGAGATAGGAAAAATTCTTATCGTAGTCTGATGATGCCAAATTGATAAGGCACGTCAAGAGTCTGGTGCCAAAAAAGTATTTAAGATTAATATTTTATAATAAAAAGAATTTCAATTATCCAAGTTTCTCATATTTCTTTTGATTTCATTTTCATCACTAAAACAATGAAATCTTCTATCTTTTGAACGGGTTTATTTAATTATAATAAGTACAATTAAAAATTATCAAAGATTCAAAGAAAAAAAAAAACATTTTTTTCATTAATTAGTCTAATAATAATTATGTTGAATTTTGACCTAAAAAAATTGTGGTTGTAATACATTTCACGTATCTCTAGCAACGTTCGTTTATTCCGGCGGCTGGATCGGCAACGTAATATGCTTATTAAGTACCGGCTTCCTTGCGGCATCATCCATCGGCTGGCCTAGCTGTTTTTACGTTTGGGGAAGTCTTGGCGTCCTCACCGGCATCTGTTTCTATTTGCTCGGGCAGGATTCACCCTCCGAACATCCCAGAATATCTCTCGATGAAAAGGAATACATTGAGACGAGTCTGGGAATAACCGAGATCAACGAGGTAATTCCTTCAATATTGCACTGAGAGAAGAGAAAAAAAAACAGAAAATCACACATCAGTTAAATAATCATTTCGAATATACATTAAAAAATTAAAATTAATTTGAAATTTAATATATGTTCATATAATTAAATAAATAAATAATTTTAGAATTAAAAAGTCAAAAGTTGCAAGTTCTTTAGATTAATATTTAGAGAAATAAATGTCTTCGTATTTTTTCTCTCTACATGTTGTTCTTCCTCCGTTTTCAGAAACCCTCCACTCCGTGGAAGTCCATATTAGGGAGCTTGCCGGTCTGGGCATTACTGATGGCGCAATGCGGACAATCCTGGGGCTTCTGGATGCTGCTGACGGAAATCCCATCCTACATGAGTTCGATTATGCGCTTTGATATCAAGAAGGTTTTTCATATAGTCATACAGTAAATAACTTCCGTTAGAATTTCATCCTTCGTTTTCTCTCTCTCTTTTATCAAATTATTCTTTTGCAAGATTTCGGAAATTTTGGAATTAGCACTCGGATAGAGTAGCACGTATATTTCAACTTTGAAAATCGCGTTTGGAATATTAATTAATAATTCGATGTGTATGTTGACAAGATCATGAGGGAAGAATGATTAATATGCCACGTGAGACTTAAGTCAATTCAAGCATCATGGTCATGAACATTAAACTATTCCGATGTCGTATCATCAATAAACGAGTCAATGACGGCTGAAAAAGAATTAATGAAACATCAAGATATATCTCTTATCGTTTAACTCTTTGCATATAATTACATTTTTTAGATAAATTTTAAATATATTTTTAAATATAAACTTATTATAACACTTTCTCTTTACGATGTTAAAAAAATATATTCTATTGACATTAAAAAATTAAATTCTTAATTCTTATTAATGTGAACTATTCGACATAAATGAGATATCACTTCAAAATCAAATCTGTATAAGTAAATTAACTGATATATCAAACAATTTGAGTAAGAAACATTTTATAATAATATTTCATTAAATGTTTATTAAAAATAGCAAGAACTAATACTATGCATTTTTGATTGCACAGAATGGTATGATGACGGCATTGCCTTACTTATCAGCGTGGCTCATCAGCTTTCCAATCAGCCATATATCCGATCTATGCATCAGGAAAAAAATTGTGACAACGAAGATGTCCCGGAAGATTTGCAATACAATTGGTCATTGGGTACCGGCAGCCGCGCTGGTCGGGTTGGGTTACGTGGGGCAGGACCAGCCGGAATTGGCCGTGGGTATCCTCGTCATCGCCGTATCGTGCAACATCGCTGCTTTTTGCGGCCATAACATTAATCACATGGACCTTAGTCCGAACTTCGCTGGCCCGCTCATGGGATTTACAAATACTATTGCATCTGCCTGCGGCATTCTCGCACCGCTGATCGCTGGGGTGATCATCAAGGATTCGGTTTGTGACATTATAAGACTTTATAATTATTTGCATTGCTAGTTATCATAAATTTAATGATGTCATATATATTTAATGTCATCATCTCTCCTGTTTAGACCAACATATTGCAATGGCGAAGCGTGTTCTTTCTGTCGGCCGTAATATACACGGTGGGCAATCTAATCTTCATCCTATTCGGCACCAGCGAGGTGCAAAAGTGGAATGATCCAATTGAAAGCAAGAAGGATAGCGTTGTGCGAAAAGTATCGACAATGCCGGTGACCATCGCGACAATACAGGAAAAGGAAGACGAGAGAATTCCATGACATTCCATGACAATCCATGACAAAAAAAAATAGAGAAACGTAATATTATGAGACAATACTTTGTTTCCTATTTTTTATATTTTATTTTTCAAATTATATATTTATCTGTGTGGATGTGTGATTTCTTGTGGTAACTTCTGAATGACTTAGAATATTAACATTATCTCAAAAAAGCGTGTATAAAATATATATTAAAATGCCTTGACTAGAAAAGTTGCATATAAATATCGAAAAATATATATATACATATATGTATATAAAATTCATGTCGAATGCATATATAGGATCTGCCAGAACAATTTCTTTTTAATTTATCCTCAAGAATATGTAAGTAAAGAAATTAATTCTAATTAATTTAAGTCTAATTAATTTCTATTCTAGATTTGGCGATCACAGAATTGCTGCAACTTGTATCAAAAAACTTAGAATTTAATTTAATTTAGAATTTTTTTTTTAAATTTTTAATAAATTATTAATACATTTCATGTAATGTAAAAACGTTTAGTCTTATGTAAATAGACAGACGGGAAATGTATAATATATCTTGTATAAGAAGAGAAAATTCAATATATCAAATCTAATTGTAAAACGTTCATTCATAAAAATTTGATAATCATACAAAACTGCTTATATATGTACATCTTCATTACCTCAGTCTTCTTTAGGATGACTATGCAATGCATTGGTCCGAATGGCGTGCCCGATAAATATCGCGCCGATAATCGTTGTCACTAATGTGGCACAAGTAACAAAGAGCGAGAGAGAAGAGTCACCGATTGGTATTCGCCAAACGTAGTCGCGATTGTTTGACATACGATACGGAATCTCACGCCACTTGGCCATTAGTCCGACACATGGTTCACATAAGTCTATTTTAGATACCCTGTGATCCTTAATCCTCTTCCTACATCCTAGCAGCAGTTTCACTTCAGGCAAAGTCACATTAACATAACCGCCTGTTTCATATGCATATTGATAACGTTGGTGAACAGGAATTGTTAAACTGGAGGATGACAAACTTATGGATGCGCAAGTTGTCACATTCTGCTGACCAGCCTTCTCTGCGAATAACTCGACGTCGGTCTCGCCAACGGAGCATATGGTATTCTACAATATTAGTATTGTTAATTAATTAGATGATTGTTCAAAGAATGATATTATATTTACATTTATATTATGTGTATATAATGAAATAGAATTTATATTTAATGTATATATGTATGATATTAATATAATATAGATTTTTTTAGATAAACATAGTTAAGTTATTATTCTCTATATAAATTATATAAATTTAAGATGTATGAATTATAGAATATCAAATCAATATAAATAATATAATAGCTTTAAGATTTGTAATATTTAAAAGATAATGTTAATAACGTCTCTTTAATTTTATATTAATGTAATCAAAATTCAATAATTTTACAAAGTAAATTAATAATTTTATATGTATAAAACTTAAAATGATAAATTTTAAGATTTTAAGATTCGTGATTATATTTTTTTCAAGTTACATTAATTATTGAACAACTAAGAAGTATACCGTTCCTCTTCTTCTCATTTCTGCTATTTCGTCTGTATTGACGTACAATGCTGATGGTAATTCCATGTAAATAGCAGCTTGACAGTCATCCTGGGTAAGATTCTTGAAGTGTATCCGAAAAATTAACGTTCTGCAAAAGGGAGTAAAGTGTTAAAAATTACACGTGGAATCTGCTCGTTTATTTACATAACAAACTACAGTTTCTAACCTATGAAACCCGTTTCCCTCCACGTCGAGATCGATCTCAGCCTCGATTGCCGCACAAATCTGCGCGCAAAATATACACAGGAACAAGGCAACGATAATTCGCAAAAGATTCACTTCGCAGACGTGTTTTCTCATCTTTATATTCTTAGATCACATACTTTTGACGTTTCTGACGTTTACGTATATATATGCATACGTGAGATTTCCCGGCCGCCATTTGATCTGTTTTCTCTTCCTGCACTAGAAGTCTCTTTCCCGCTTTCGATAAATATCAAACATTATTTCACTTACCTATTCACCTATTTCACTTTAAGTTCCGAACGTATACACTGATTTAGCCGCAGAAAACAGACCTGTGATGTGCTCAGTTGCAATCAAAAATCAGTTGTAATCAAAAATTGACCAATCATCTTTGAGTATTCTCTTCTTACAGTCAAATGAGAGGGAAATATTCGACTGTGGCCATTCTGATCGGATTAAACCCTCGGTAGAAACTAGGCCAGTGTTACTAATCCAACAAATTAAAATCACGTTGCCTAGAGGTTTTTGTACCAACATTTTCCAGTCTAGTTTTTTATTTTCGGGAAAATGTCATATAACTGATATTCGGTGATATCCATAGAAAGAGACGATTTAGAGAGAGACACTTGCAAACTAAGTCTGTTTTTATTGGGTGCATCTAGAAGCTCATTGAGAGCTTAATAAGCTCTTTTACCTATTTGGTCTACATTTTTAGATCTAATGGAATATGTCAATCAAATGTAAGAGCTCACTAAGCGCTGTGATAACTGCTGAGAAAAAATTGTAATTTTTCTGCAATATATAAGATATTATAACTTTACAAGTATGCATATTTATTTATGGAACATTTATGTAATAAAAAATCATGAATTTAATATGTATTGAATTAAATGTATAAGCCAAATATTTATGTTAATAATAGCAAATTTATATCAATTGTTGATAATGTCAGCGTTCTTTAATTACCTCGGGGCCCTTAGGGCCCTTTTTATATCGCTGAAAATTTGCTCAGGTTGACGATCTTTAATAGTATTTCGTTGGTGGCCAAAGTTACTCCGATTTTGGTCTAATAATTAATCGAATTTTTAGATCTAATTAATTAAACTCTGGCAATTTTTGAAATTTTTAGATTTAGTGCCATCCAATTATATATTTCTAATATTTTATCAAATCTTGAAGGTTTAAACATTCAGACAAAGATTTAACAACGATTCTTGAAATTCAATATGTGCTACGCGTTTTCATTAATTATTTTTTTCTAATATTTTATTTTTGAAAATATATTTTTATAATTTGCAAGATATCGATTAAAGCAGGTAATTAATAACAGTCAATAAGATTATGACCTACTTTATTATGATTAAATAAGTATCAGTCCTCGAATTACCGACATGAAAAAATTACAAAAATAAATCAAGTTAGAGTAGTAAGAGATAAGAAATTAAAATTGCAAACATCGCAATTTTATAAATTGTTATTATTGTAAATTCTGTTTCGCTATATGTTATTCTTCTTTGCTTCTAATAGACAAATTCGATTATTCCGGTGTGAATCTCGCTTTAATAGCTCTCTTCGTGTTGCGGTCTTACGATGTTGTCAGGTGTTGTTTCGCCGCTGTCTCGGCATATTAATTGTTGTATGCGAACGGATTATTGTCGATAATGAAATGACGTTCACAATTAACGTGATCGAGTAGTAGCGATGAGAGAACGATAATCTCAGCGTGCGGTTTGTCCCATCGATGTCGATCACAAGTGGATGTAAATTCGCGCGCTCTGATCTAAATAAGGTTAGATTCACGAGATAGTTTTGGGTAGTTTGCAGTCGCGCGCCTTTAATCCTGCGAAATAAAATCATGTCGATTCATTCGGAGAGAACGAAAATAGAAACCAACAAGGTAAGTCGAGAGACGAAGCTAATATACATTGGCATATATATTATTCTGGAGTAATAAGAGAAAGATTGTATATTAAATGTGTAGAAATTGGGATAAACTTTTGGAGATCTTTGTTTATTGCAGTTTTAACATTTTTATATCATTACATTGTTGAACAAGCTTTGTTTAAGTTCTCCTTATGATAAACTACAAATAATAACAACATATAAAGTCTCTCTCTGTGTTCGTACATACATATTCTTGATGATCTGTTTATTACAAAGTATTGTCCAAGGACAAATTTATAGGTCTGTACTTTTTCCATACTCTATGACTGAACTTCTTGCATAGTCCATCCTTTTTGTTTTTACATCAGAGAAAAAGACAGAAGGTAAACCATGCAAGAAGTTCTTGGAGTAAAGAAAAGAACAAACCTAAAATTCTATTGAACTCTCCAATAAAAGGTAAAAAATCTTGGCTTTGTATCTCAAACGGCTTGAAATTTAATTATGCAACTGTTATTTTACAGGTGAACGACATGGACATCACATCAGACTTTACCCGCCTCAAGGTATCTGTATTGGAGAAGGCGTCACGTATATCAGCAACTACAATAGTAGATCGTATCACGATCGGGCCTCAATCGACGCTGTATGAAGAAGATTCTAACAAAGCAGACAACATTGAAAATGAGCAAAATTCTTGTAACATTAAAAGTCCACAGAGAACTATTACTAGTCCCAAACACAACATGGTGGCCACTTCAAATGGCATTCATTTCTCAGTCAATAAGATTGATGCGGAGAGTGAATTGCAAAGAAAAGAAGAAGTCTGGGTATCTTGATTGTTATGACGTCATACATATATATATTGATTAAATATACATCTCAATATTATATATATTTTTAATTAAATTTATACGTAGACATACTCATTGCAATCAAGGGGATGCCAAAATTCATATCTTTACACACTTATTAAAATACTTGTATAAAGTCTTTGGATTTTCAGCAAACTTTCTTGCGAATAACACATGAGCCATGCATTGGCCAATAAGCTGTTTAATTTTTTGTAAAAATGATTTTCATAATTTAGAAATTTGTAATTGTTTCTCTTTGCCAAAATTTAGGGGAAGCAAGCATCTCTGTGTTCTATGAGTGTATTTTTTATATAATTTTATTATTAAAATAAATGGTATAAAAAAATTCTATGAGTTTGTCTATGAGTAGTAATTTGAAATAAATATAATTTTGGTTAGTTATTAACAAAATGTATAAACAATTGATATAGTAGACTTTGAATAGACGAGTAATTTGAGATGAATGTTTAATTCTAATTAAATTCTCTGTTGAAAATTAAAAACATAATGTCATAAGACCGACATTAGTACTACATTAGCCTTCTATCGTTATTTCTTCGTTTGTATTGCAGAAAGTAATAGACCGTCGCATTCAGCATATGAACGAGAATGCTCGAGTAATTCAGGAACAAATGGCAAATTCACGCTCATCGATGGCACGTGAACGCGAACGCCGGAGTGAGGAGAAGTTGGCGTACTTCTTAGCTGAAGAGGAACGATTGGCAGAGCAGGAAGAGATCAAGAGACGACATGAACAACAATTACAGGCACAGCGCGCTCAAGAGCAAAAAGAAAAGCTTGAACGAGAGATGGAGGAATATCGAAGAAGAATGAAAGAAAAGGAAAGACTGATGAAGACTGTGTCAGTCCATCGGGATCAGTTCACGACCAAGTACTGTGACCTCGTGGCATTATCCAAGACCTGCAAAGACCAGCAAGCGTTCAGTGCGATATTTACCGCACATAGCGCGACGATAAGAGATGTGTTCCAACGAATCGAAGCTATAGATGAGAAAATCAGAGTAATTATTGAAAAGAAAAGAAAAATTATTTGCAAGAAAAAATTAAATATTTTTCTTAAATATTGAATTGTATTTATTAACAAAAAAGAGATAATCATGAATTTTTAGAGATTTTTTTCTAGAACATTCTGTAGATGTTATATAATATTTGTTTAATAATTGTAAATGACGGATTATTTTTGTCTGTCTTTTATAGAATGGAGAATTGGTAGCTGCAGATGAAAATCTTATTGAGAGTTTGGTTTGTCACTTCAGTGATATATTAAATGTATTTCATATAGAAACAGGTTTGTGAATTTTCTTGCAATTATATTTTTTTTATCTCAAACTTGTGTTAAATATACTTTGTTACACATTGTAGAAAAAATAAATGCTCAATATGAAGCGGAATTGGCTCGAAAAGCGCAAGCTGCAAACTTGATACAGTCAGTCGAAGAGACAAATAATGTTCCAGTTAATAATGTAATACCTTGTCAACAACCAGATGAAAACAATGTTGTGGAAACCAAAGAAGATGATAGTTCCAATGTAATAACGAATGCAATAACGAATCAAGAAGCAGTAGTTACATCAGTTAACGAAGTAGTCGCACCGTCTGTATCTGATCCTCAGTTAGAAGAAACGACTAAAAATTCTGCATGTAAAAAAGGTGATCAAGATCTCTAAAAGCATATAAGACGCATTTGAAGTATTTAAATTAATAATGTATATGTATACA